ACCATCACGGTCCTTCCCCATAGTATAATAGAGTGGGATGCCAGCTGGATCAGAGAGAAATCCTCGCGAGACTGTATCGAGAAGACGATCAGCCATCTGCCGTGCATCGTCACAAAAGAAACGTCCGCGACTTGGATGTTCAATCTGAGTGGAGCATATGATATCTTGGTATCCGGTGAATAAGGCAGTCAGTCGCTCGCATAGAACATGACGATTAGGGATGTATCGTCGTATTCTGCGATTCAAACCGGCTGCCTTTGCCCGTTTTGCATATTCCCAGTTGATCCCTCGCTTTTCTAGTGCTGCCCGCACTGCAGCTACATCGTCTTTGTCACGAATAAAAATCGCCTCACTGAAGTCATGGGAGAATGCTTTGAACGCCGAGTGTTTCTTTGAGAGAAGTCGAAGAAGACGATCCATAAAGTGAAAAGCATCGTCGAGAACACGTGTCGGAATCGTTTCATCAGCTGCTTGTCGAAGGATATTCTGAGCATGTTCCACAGCTTCTGTGATGACACGGATGGCATCCAAATCATCGTCAGCCTCAATAGATAAGTCGTCCCAGAAATCCTGAGTAATGTTAAGAACAAATGAATGACAATAACACTAGTACTGTACTATTACGACCTAGTCTTCATGGAGCGTTACCCGTTACGCATACTCTTCACAGATGTTGCTCTTCATTCAGGGTCCAATTTCCTTATATGGGCAGGCGGGAGCGGCGGCGCTAGCCACCGCCCCTAAAAATTTCCTTTTTGGGCCTTACCTGGGGCCCAATTTTGGCCGTTACGCGTTATGGTAGCATGAACTCTTCATTTCACAGGTCCCCGTTACGCGTTATGCGAAGACTAGACCGTAATAGTACAGTACACTTACATCATCCTCCTCATCGCTATACATATACTCATCTTCCGGAGATGCCTCCCATATCTCAAACTGTGTATCTTCCGATGCAGACTGCTGGTACGAGATGGAGAATGGAGTGGGCTCCGAGAGTGTAGAAGCAGATGGTGCAGGTGCAGGTGCTGAAAATCCGAAGATCACACTCTCTGCAGGAGCAGTCGCCATTGCAGATCGAGACCGAAGTTGACTGACAGCAGCAACAATCCGGCGCCCATGAGTATAAATCCATTCGATTGTCTGACGATGCAAGTTATGAATTGCACCGGGAACAAGGACTTCAGTGATCTCGATAAGTGTGCGGCTTGCTGAAATATTGATGCGCCGAGTCAGGCCATTGTCATCATCAACAGCCTCTAGGTACCCAGGATGATCAAGAACAAGTTGTCCATAGGCCACAGGCTTGCAGCTATGAACGAGAGTAACCAGCTGACCATCACACTGGAGCTGTACTGGAGACAGTCGAAGTCCAACAGACTCGCGCTTGGATAAGGTGGACCAGAGCTGCCAAAGACAATCAGTCTCGGAGTAGAGTGCTGTAATATCTGAAACAGAAAGACTTGTAGCCCAGCGATAAGGACTGAGGGGTGGAAAATCGAGGCATCTTTTTAGAATAACACCAACGAGTGCGTGAAGAGGCATATTTGGGTCCTCAAGAGCACCTGCAAGCTTTGCGTGATGCCCAAGATCGACAAATAGAGGACTCGTAGCTGAACGAGTAGCAATAATAAGGTCCTGAAGATCAAGAGCTTCGCCAATAGCTAGTAATGCCTGGCGGACTTGGTATCCCACCTTCACAATTGCACTGCTAGTAAAGAAGGCTCTGAGAGCGGGAATAAACTGGCTTCGAACATCGATGTCCGTCATCTAGAGATGTGAGATAGAGAAGTCACTCTGAATAAATGTAAGTACCTTGAATATCAAAACTCGAGTCTTAGTTCGAAGTTGAATAATATCAAGACAAGGCTTTCCCAGGGCCACACCCGAACGGAACTTGACCCCAACTGCAACAACAAGAACCTGACCCGCCTGCGCCATGCTCTGCACTTCCTCCAAGATATCAGCCACAGCCTCGTTAAGCATATGAGCATGACTAATGAACTCTGGAGCTACATCCTCAGATATCTCGAATTTTGGAAGATCAGTCCATGTCGAAATGTGTCGAACATTAGCTGCAAGTGTCTCCGCGATCTCTTCGTAGAATGTTTGCTCCGCTAATAAGTTCATTAGTTATGTGCATCCATTACGAAAGCAGAGACAAACTTTGCGGAGAATCAGTATACAGTAACGATGTCGGTGGGTGTCCGACCGCCTTCAGACTAATCTGAATTTTTGAAAACATCTCACGAACGTACGCCAATGATTTCGTCAGAACTAGACCTTCTGCACGAACCTCCTCCCATTGGTTGACCACGTTGAACGCTGCCTTCCAAATCTTCTCGCCATTCAAGCCACCCATATACTTCAAGAACTATGAATGAATGAGCAATTTACTATGAAAGATACCTTGATTCGAGCACGTACATCGAAAGTATGATCCACCTTGGCAATATCGAGCGGAAGTGCAGCTTGTGCACGATCCATAAAGATCCGATGTGCACCAATATAATCAGTATACATAGCCTTGAGATAGCCCGTTGATGGAGGACAGCCCGCAAACCCATTCGCATCGGTAAATGAAGAGAATTGGGGGACTTGAGCTTTACCATGTAGCCCAAAGCACAAGGCGGCGGAGTAGTAAATCAGTTCGCATGAAGCGTGGTCACGGTATTGGAGTTCAGACACCATCTCAGAGAATGGTGAAGGACCGAGCCGCTTTACAGTTCCAGAAGCAAGCTGCCACATCATTGGCTTGTCAAGAGCACCGCGGGTGGATATATATGCTGATAAGCATCTCTTAATACTTGTTACATTTACAACAGTAATAGACATGCACGTACCAGGAAAGCTTTCTTGTACAAAGCGCGGTAGTTGTTCGATGATATGTGAATCGCTTCCTTGGAAGCTCTGTCCACATCCGGCATCAAACGCACGGTCGGAGTCACACCAAAATCGGTTTGTAAATAGAAAGTAATCGGTGTCGGGAAATCGACGAACACGGCGAGCAATGGGCTTGTTCTGGTATCCTAAACATCAAATCTGAGTTTTGGAACTATACAGAAAGATACAAGCATACCGTGCTTAGAGAGGGTCTTGCCGCAAGTGCACTTGAACACTGCGGGGCAGTGCGGAAGTAGATGGGGCAGCCAGACCAAGATGTGGCGGTGGTATAGCGGGTCGGGTGAGAAATCGACTGCTCCAGCTTTGTCAAGTGCGAATATGGGATGCGGGGGGCGATCGAACAACTGGCCGTCTGCATAGCATTGCGGCTTGCCATGTTTTTTTGATTTCCTTGACGATTCGACGCTTGAACGCGTTAAGGTACTGTTCAAGAACAGTCTCTGCAGCAGGTTCGGACGCCTCCGTCTCGATCTGTGCAGCAGTCGCATTGCTGGCATCAGAGTCACGGTCTGCCAACAGCTCGTCCGCCAAACTATCATCGATCTGGGAAAGACCAGAAGCTATATCACCATGAACGTCGTGCTCCTGGACAAATGCAAGCTCTGCGTTGAGTCGAGATAATTCTGCGATAGACACAGAGCTAGAATCGTTCTGCAGCGACGAGGAGGCTGTAGAAATGGTCAATAATCAAAAGTAATTCCAAAATAAGAGAATATAGCAACGTACGAAGAGTTCTGCGTGTCTGTGGTTCGTTCTGTGGCTGCTGCACGTCGCTTGTCAAGCCCACACGATTCCCTCCTATATAAGCTGGACCAGGGATCGCTTGACGTGTGTCTCGAGGTAAGAAGAAGGTTGCAGGAGGCGGGCGGGGCACGGAAGATGATGGAACTATAGCTGGCGGGCAGCAGAGTGCGGGAGAGTAGACAACAATTGAGCAGTTGGCTGTTGAGCCGTCGTCGTCGTCCCAGATGCAGTCCGAGCAGTTGAAATCGCGGCCGTTTTCTTAGCACGACCAGATCCGGCACGTTTGCCGCCCCAACCACCCTTGGTAGCTCTACCACTCGCGGTATATTGCTGTTCTGGCGGATGGTCTTGCTCCATTATGTTAGCAACAGCAGTGTGTCGTCGTGCGCGTGGTGCAGAAGTTCAAAACACGTTGCATTCATGGCATTCGGGATCTAAACTACGATAGGAGACGGATCACTTGCGGCACCTACGTCACGGACACGAGTAATGGTCCATGTCCGTATATGGACATAGGCCTGAACTGACATGGGCCATGGGCCGATATCTCTGCTGTTCAAGTGTTGATTGCATCATGTGGAGATTATTAACGGTTAGTAACCATTAATAACACACTCCAAAATGAGGGTATATTCCGCTGAGGTTACTAACCGTCTTGTGGAATACTGTAGTCTTTCGACCGCATTTTCACATAACGCGTCACGCGGGTCTGTGAAGCGAAGATCCAGGTACAGCATAACGCATCACGGACCCCAAAACTTATTAGTGTTCGCTTAAATAGGCAATTTTTTCGCTCCGGCTGGCGCCGGAGCCTCCATATATGGTAATTCACGTGACTTTTGTGCCTAATGAAGATGTTCGCTACATCTTCACAACCATAACGCGTCACAGGCTGTGAAGATACGGTCGAAAGAGTACAGTATACTGCGCAACCCGTTACCCTATACCACACCTCCGGGAGGTTTTAGGGTGGTGCAGTAAACCCTAGGTTTTGATACACCTCGGGTTTACTGCAGTTTTTAACGGTATCAATACGGTATCATTGAAACCTCGGCCGAGGTATCGGTACAGTTTCGATACCGACACGTGACAAATTCACGTGATGGCACGCTGGCGCTCAGGCAAGCTGAAAGTGGCGGGATAAGGGCGGGCGGAGGGCGGCGGAATGGTGCGCCACATCACGTGGTAAAAGCATGTGCTGGTATCAAAACCGTTACTAACGGTTTCAAAACCAGGGCCTCCTGGGCGGTCGGTATCAATACCGTTACTAACGCCCCCCGGAGGTTTACTGCGCCACCCTAGGAGGTTTAGTAATACTGCGCCACCCTAACGTAGGCGACGTGGAGCCAAAAAGACTGCCCCAGTGAGGCTCGAACTCACGACCTTCCGATACAGAATCATTCAACCGTAGTCATGAATAACAGTCGGACGCTGTAACCAACTCAGCCATGGGGCATGTCGTATGTGATTCATTGAGAATTCTTGAGAGTAGAGAACAAAACTCAAAGTGAACCAAAAGTGAACAATCTTTCCTTGCGTCGTCCTCCATCATCTGCTGCTACAGCTTCTGAAAATGGGTGAGCCTTTTCTTTGTTATTTGCAGTTTCAATGTTGTACTGAATTCTATCAGATTACCAGGTACTTTCCATGTTTCCCAAAACCGATTAATGCTAAACCGACCTAGAATCGAGTGGGCTCCAAGTTTGGCGGTGGTGGTGTTGCTGGCGCGTCCGAGACCAACGTCGACCGACGTGAGCGCCTACGGAAACTTGCTTTGGAGACGATAGATTTGGCCAAGGTGCGTGTCCGTCCAACCGTTTCCATTTTGTTTGTCTCAACGAGCCTTAGGATCCTTACATTCTGCGCAACCATCTCGGCTCTCTCGAATGCCGACTCTGCTTGACGCTGCACACCAATGAAGGCTCCTACCTCGCCCACACGCAAGGCAAAAAGCACCAGACCAACCTGGCGCGGCGTGCGGCGCGCGATGCCAAAGACACACAGCTGATGATTGCGCCGACGCAGAGCAGCATCCAGCGGAAAGTGTTTTTGAAGATTGGCCGGCCTGGATACCGGGTCACGAAAGTGCGCGACTTGGATACGGGAAAAGAGGGCATGATGGTTCAAGTCCATCTCCCCCAGATTAAGCCTGGTGTCCTTCCTCGGAGGAGGTTTATGAGCGCTTGGGAGCAGAAAAGGGAGGCTCCGAACAAGGCGTACCAGTATTTAATTGTGAGTATTCTTTGTTGTGTTCGTTCTATGTGATTGACGGCTCTCTAGGTTGCTGCCGAGCCATACGAGACAATTGCGTTCCGCATCCCAGCTCGGGAAATCGAGGACGAGGCCGATGATGCTGGCTACTGGAATTGGTCGCACTGGGATTCCGACACCAAACAGTACAGCTTCCAGTTCATGTTCCGTTTGGCGTACCAGTGAGAGATATGGTATCTACCCGTTTTGTTGTACAACATCTATGCATCCTCATTTGCGTTGACCAGATTGCCTGAATACTTTCAAGGGTGCTTGTCGATCATAAACCCTTTCGTCTTCTACTGCTATGTCCACGTCTCGCACAAAGCATTCTACCATCTTGCCCACTGCCATACATGCTCCCACGCGCTCCAGAGCTCTCGTTGAACACGCACAAAGCGTCCTTGTCCGTATCCTCAACGACCCAGACATCAACGAATGGCGCGCTTACTCCCATCTACATATTCGCGTCCTTACTACTCGCGTCTGTTATTCTACCTCGCCCTCGTTCATGAGGTCTTCGTTCTCGATCGAGCTGCGCGATGCGGGTGGTGGCTGCAGCCAGAAACCAGAAAGCGCTTTCAATATCGAGTTCCTTTCAGTTCCGGCTCCTGTATCGATATCGGACTAAGGAGATGTGAAGGACACTTCCATACGCATAGAGGACAAGAACGGAGAAGGAGGAAGAGAAATAGCTTCAGGGGTGGCACTGGCCTGTACTTCCGAGGTTGTCTCAGGAACTGGAGGTGCCGTCTTCGGAGCCTTGTCTTTGGGAGATTCCTGCTCTGGAGATTCCGACTGCTGGATAAGATCCGCTACGGCGGGCTCTTCATTACTATCACCCTCGTCATCGGCTTCACTACTGGAGTCAGAGCTCTCAGATTCATTGATCGCGTCCTTGACACTCTCGAGAACCTCGACGCGTGCTCTTGCCGTGGCCACTGGACGTGCGCGTCGCCCACGAATCACATTGTACTTTCGCCGATCCGCGTCACGTCCCAAGCGTTCAAAGTGTTTGGCCATGTTGGAAACCTTTCCTCCCGGAGTGCCTACTGGTCGCCTGAACGACGACTTGCTGCCCGCGCTCGAGGACGGCCGAGAAGGTACCTTCATAGAGTCCTTTGGGATTTCGCACCTTTGGGTCCCAGAGGCGTAGGCGCGAGGATCTTTCCATTCGCAAGAAGGGGCGGAGAGGATGAACGGGCGAACTTCATTTCCCTAGGTTTCCCGCTAGCACTACGCTTTTCGGGAGAAGGCCGACGCGATGAATCACGAGACTCCATAACACCATTAGAAGCTCCAACAAGGGTGGGTATACTAGAGTTGCCGCTCTGATGGCAAGACCGCCTCGAATGAGTGAGATACCTAGGAGCAATGTTTGCAGCATAACCCTGCTCGACATCGGACGTCGAAGGCTTCTTGGCCAAGTAGTCAGCGGACGTCTGCATTTGGTTCCGTACGAGCTATGTGGCCGAGACGTTACTATCTCTCTGGAGCCTTCGACACTGGCCATCTACCTTCGTCTAGTGTTTCCGAGGCTGAGGAAGGGCCGCTCAAGATGCGACGGGTTACAGGGGACTCGTTTGCATCGTCAGCGTCGGAAGCGTCGGAACCCGAGCCGGAGACCACGCCAGAGCCAGCCACTGAAGCTACAACTGGTTCAGAGCAGACGACACCCAGCGAGACTGCGCCTCCAGAACCGGAGTTGGCGCCTCCGCCCGCCGCGCCTTTACCTTCGCCCACCACGCTTGCGCCTCCACAAGATACAGAGCAGCAGCCTACTGCCATCGAGGATGAAAAGGATAAGGACCTGGATTCCGATTCTACCATTGGCGCTGCGCGTGAAGATGCGGTATCGCCTGACCAACCTGTGAGTCTTTGTATACCATGCCATGAACTCTACTAACATGCATGTCCTTCTAGCAGGAGGAGGATGCTCGTCTCCACGCCATTTCAAGGCTTCCTCGCCGTGCCGAACCTCATCCAACTGTCGCTGAGCTTGTCAGGAAGTACCAAGATTTCTTGTCACCTCAAGGTGTACAGGACTTAGCTAAGACTGCCTATGCTCCTCGCATCATTGTATCCGAGAGTGACCACGAATATCCAGCACCCATAGTTCCCCGAAATGTCACCCGCGACTTGGCTCAGTGATATTCCTCACTTCAAAATGGAACTCGCCTTTGTCGTTTCCGCGTTAGCCTTCGGGATTTGGTTCGGACTCGTGCTACTTCATTGGACCGTTGGCAAAGTGGCGATGGGGTTGCGAGCGTTTGCAGAGTACGACCTGCGTGGGCTGAATAGAGAAGCAGGGGTACCTCTGACATATGAACTCGTCTTTGGCGGTATTCTTTGAGGACCGGGAGCGCTGTCTCCGCCAGCCGAGAACCTTGCTTGTTTGTCATGCTTTTCAAATGAATGCTATAAAAACGGAAACCCCAACCTGACAGTCACCTTTTCAGGAAGCGGCAATGCATCAACAGACGTACGGCCATTTGTTTCCTTCAACCCGTTCCTCGTTGCGCTTCCCGTCTACTGTATCCAGAACGCAAGATGCCATGAGGGAAAATTGCATACCCAGGACTGGATTAGGCACGATCCTAGTTAGAGAATGTACGGGTCATCCTCGGAGAAGAGCTATGCCCTCAGATGGTGATAGTGAGCGAGACAATGTCGAAAGTCGAGGTCGGACACGTCGCGCGACAAAAGGAACACCCTGACCAGTGAACGAAGGGAGTCGACTGAACATTCTATACTCAGGGCGGAAGTCTTGGGTGCCCTACTCATCAGAGCTTCATCAACGAAGATGGCAGCCAGACGGCGACGAAAATTAAAAAGTGCCATTTCGGGCGTATCCGCTTAGGTCTTTCCTCGTCCAGCGTGTCTCGGTGAGTGTTACTGTTACTCTATATTTCCCTGTCATGATCAACTCGGCTGAGGACAGAATCCCCTCACTCAACTGGGAGGCAATCAATCGTGGCGTGCTTGCGGACAATTTGGATGGCCCGTCAACGGCTCAGGTAGCTTCCATGCTAATCAAGGCAGAAGGTGAGGGTTATCTGCCTTCTTTCTAAACGACTCTCACCGGTGTGATAGATAGTGAGACCGGTACGTTGAGCTCCTCATCAATGCTTGGTTTCCTCACAGCACAAGTAGGCCCTTGGCCTCTTCCTGTGGACTACCTCGCCGGCTGGCAGAAACTCTCAGGGACTGGCTATTGGACTGCTTTTCGGGCGCACTGGTGGGGGAACCCCGATCCGCTGGATGACTTGGATGGTTTTACTTTCAATGTTTCCCGCGTCCTATTCCCTCCATCTCTCCGCATGCCCCAACTTTCCCCATCAGGTGGCAGAATGTTTGTAACAGAAGACCTTGCACGGCTGCGGTTGCGTATCCTGAAGATGTGGACCGCTATCAACATGACGAGCTTGGGAGGTGAAGGCAAAAATAAGTGGGTTCGCTCACCAATGGGCGGCGTCTTACTACCAGGCCAGCCTGGCGTCGGTATGTACAATTTCGGGCTCTTATCATACCCTAAATTCAACTGATCTTGATAGGCAAAAGCGTCTTCCTTTGGTATCTTATGATATTCCTCCTGCAGCACAAACAGCGCATTGTCCTCAGCATCGGGCAGTCTATCCTCGAGTTCCGCTATGATGGTGTTTACCGCTCCATGTTCCCTCAGCCGTTCATCGACATGATCACAAACCCTCTCCAGTTCTGGAGTCTCATCGACATGACTAGCAATGAACTAGTGCCCCAAGCTGTGACATTGGAAAATGCATTCCCCGTTCATGCCGTAGATTGCTTGGACTGTAACCCATCCTGGGTTAGGAACTACAATATGGACGTCTTTATCTGGGGTATGCCACCTTGGAGTAATGTCCAGGCCCTCACTACAGCGTATGTCTTTGACCTGCTACAGAGGGCGCTAATGTAACGGCTTTGTTAGTGTGAAACTGGACAGACGTGCGTCGAGTTCAACAGACTCGGTGATCCAGGACTTGATCCGCAAATACGGGCCTATTCCACGCACGGTCATCGAGGCGGCAGACAACATACGCTTTGATGAGGTGCTGATAGATCGATGGAACTTGACACAATTCCAGCAGCTTGACCTTGACCTTCAAGCCGACATCACTCGCCTCGGAAAGATCACTAAAACTTGGTCTCTTCCTCCCCACGTTGACTTCCCGCATGGATTCTTTC